AAAACGAATGTCTCAGTACTGTCGTATCAATTTTTCAACACAACTGCCAATGTTAATGACCGCATCAATCTCTCGCACCTGATATGACTTATAAGCATTTGTGAAAGGACACATGTGAAACATGCCGGTTTAAAAAAATGTCCAAAACATGAAACTTCGAGCTTTCATATTGTTACCCCACTAATTTAAAAGCCTTGCTGTTTAAGGTAAGCAATGTGATAAGTTTACATTTTTTAACGTGTAGAAAAGGCTTAAGTAATGATTGGTTGCTGCTTTATAATTCAAAACTGAAAAAAAAAAATCTTGTGCCATTGTTTTTCAAATTAAGATAAGCTCTATCTTGTATTTTCTTTTTGAACCTTCCTCCAGCTGTTGGATACAGCTGTCAAATGAGTTTTTGCAAACAGTGATATGTAGATGTAGATGCTGGAAGATTGGAGACAGCTAATTAAAGAAATAATTCACTAAAAAATATAGACATACCTAACCTGTTTGTGTAAAACAAAGATAACATAAAAAGACAACAGATACTGTATATTTATCTAACAAATAATGCACATGAGTATAAAAAGCCAAGTAATTTGACCCCAACGTAGACACAGACAAATTTTTTTGTACCCTTTTGTTAAAGAGAGAAAAGCCTACAATAATCACTGGAATAAATTGAAACTGACAGAAGTAATAAGCAGAAAACAACAATGACTAAAAATTAGCTAATAAAAATAAATTATATATATATTTTTAATTTGGTTCACCTGATGTTCGTTTTTTAATCAACTAAGGAAACTGGTCTCGACAAAAAGTATAGTGCCCAAAGTAAAAAATTTAAATAATTTGACCAAAGAGACATGCTAAAGTAAGAGAATTAATGACAAATAAAAACATGGAAAATACAAATGATAACCAAAGAGTAAAGGACAACTTCCAAAAAGATCAGAGGTGAACCACGAGTTCACAGAGTATCAGTGTCAGATAGCATCATTGGTCACTGATTAAGCTAAAGAGGACTTAATGGAAGACAATTGAGGCGGACACCAAACCATAAAAACGTCAGACTAGAATTTGACCAAATGAATGTTGTCCAGCCTCAAAGCTTCTGGGAAAATGTCCTTTGAACAGACAAAGTCTCTTTAGCTCATTGTTCACAGATTCAAAAAGGAAACAGAAAAAGAAGAAGACACTGTAAATGCAGGAGGCTTGATTATGTGTTAAAGCTCTGCTGGATCTGGCATGAGGGGTCGTGAATTTGTTTAGAATGCAATGAAGATTGTCAAGGCATTCTGAGGGAAAATTTAACGTTTCATGGGTCTGGCATAAGGAAAATGACCCAAAAACCTACATGAAGACACCCAAGAAAGGCCAAGAACAAAACATTGGACTGTTCTGAAGTGGCCTTCTGAACCCTCTTTAAAAATCTCCCTTTTGCAAATCCTATTGAACATCTGTGAAACTTAAGTTATAGGAAACATTTTTTTTTGTTGTCAAGGCCACTTTTCTTTGTTTTTGCTTTTTAAGAAATTCTGAAGAACCAACATTCAAAAGCAATGACTAATTTTCATTATTTGATATTTAAGTTTTTTTTTCTTCTACTTTTTTCAGTTTCATGTTTTCTCAGTGACCTTTATGGGTTTTTTAACAAAAGCGTACCCACAAATGTGTGTGCCTTTGTAAAGCCACTTTGTTTTTTTTGTCAAACTGAAATATCAACTATTCAAGCTTACCTATCTCAGAACGATGTGTATTATTGAACAAGATGAGTGTACATTCTCGTACATCTCTGCATTAAGTGGAAGCTGAAACATAACACACTACAATGTATTTGAATAGGCTTATACTACTGATAACCATAAAAACAAAATAAGAATCTGAGAATGGTTTCAATTGAACAGTAAAACTTTTGAAAAATAAGCAGGAACATCCAAGTACATTAAAAAAACTTCATTATAATTGAATAAAAGTTAATCACATTTTTTAATACAGCACCTTCAGCCATTAAAAACTAATATTGCAGACCCTCTCAGATATTAGAACTCTCATCCAAACCATCTGTTAGATTTTAAATTAACAAAAACCAAAAAAGAAAAATGAACTGAAACTGTTTTCTAATATTTCCAGTTTTGGTAGTTTGTAGTTACCAGCTTCTCTCAAAGCTTCAGGATCTAGTATTCTAAACAAGAAGGCCCTGTTTCATCCCTCCCTACACGCTCATGTTCTCATTACAAAAATATCTTGAAAGATAAGAAAACTCTATCTGCTGATTTTTCCTCTCAATTTGTCTTTTGCTCCATTTTTCCAGCACCACTCCTCCTCTCATAGTGTCACAGTCCATATGGTGCTGCAACACTGTTGGTCTCCTGTGGCCACACTTCCCACGATGCATCTGTGGCTCTGGGCTTTGGATGAAGCTGATAGGCTGAGAGTACTGTGGTATCGACCAGCCGTCGCCTGGTGTGAGGTCAGCTCAGTGCAGCGCTGGAGTGTGTCCGAGCAGCACACACCAATAACTTTCAGTCTATCATGGATTCTGACAATCAATCCTCAATTTTCTGCTCTTACCTTTACCTTCACAGAAGTSTGTTCTTGTCTTGTATTCCTTTCTTTAAAACTCCCTTTTTAATGTGCTAGAGAGTCTTCTTTTTTCTTCTTCAAAACTACTATCATATTGATCAATTTCTCTTAATTTCTTGACGTCACACACAATGCAACATCAAACATTGGCACCAACTTTATCTTTTCAAGCTATAACCACAATATTCCTTAAAAAACACCTTGGACTCTTTGTCCAGTACACTGCTTCTTTCTTTGAGAGCTGGGTTTCAGTGTTTTTCTACTCTCCTCCACATAGTTGTGTCGCTCTGAGCTGGCTTCCTCTCCCGTTTGTGTCCGTGCAGAGAAAACAGAGCTTAGCAGAGATCAATCCCATTGAGTCTGACTCCTTTCACCAGCCGAGGATCAATACTTTCTGTTTCATGTCCCTGTGCAAAGAACACACAGGCATGTCTTTTGCACAGACATGGCCGAGCACAGTCCACGTTGCCTCTTATAGTCACCAAACCTTTTGTGCGGTTCGGCGGCTATGAGAGCTGACCCACCCCATTTAAAAGCGACCTATCGGCCTATCGGCTAACTTGCTCACCGGGGGATACAAAAGTTCATTATGACAGCTTTGGTGGTGCTAAAGATCTGCTTTGACATTCTTCTGCAAAGCAGTATTTACATTAGATATTTTGCAGATCACCAATGAGGCTCGTGCTCTTTTAAATGAAAACTAAGCAAAATAAAACATTTTTGCACAATCATGCAGCAAGACTTGCATGATTGTGCAATTAATCCAT